GTCAGACAACTAATGACTCTTTGTTTATTGATTTATATATCACAACATTTCGGTAGCGGGAAAGGTCGGTTTATTATCGGCACTCATTTTTTTGCGCCGCGGCTGCTGCCGTATCGCCTATCCTGCTAAATTCAGAAGTCCGTGCTTCAGTTAAAAATATTCCTCCTGTGTGTACTTTCTAATTTGGGCGTATTATTTTAATTATAGTTCTGGTTGTGGGTGTGAATATTTAGAGGGATAGTGAAAATGAAATGGGTGGTGCAGTGTGCAATAAAAATGATTTATCAAAAGTTTTTGGGAGTGATTTTAATGGAACAGGAAACCTCGCAGGAAATTAGAAGGGTTTTTATTAGTATTGATAACATTATTAATATTTATAGCATAGAATTGACGTTTCTGTATGTACATGTTACTCAGCATACAAGCGATTTGGAAGTAAATGTTTGAAACAGAGTGTTTTTGAGATATTTTCAGCTAAACTTGGTCATTAAAATTGTAAAATACAATACAAAGACAATCGTATTTTTTCACAAACTATTATAATATATTTTAATATAATGATATATCTACCTGATCAATATCGCAATTCAAAGTAGTTTAAAGGACCTTTTTCACGACTATTCGACATTGAATAATTGTTCTAATATTCTTTAAAAGGTCAAATCAACGCTAGAAATGTTTCTGAATGTTCTAGAAAACCACATACCGTCATTTGTGTATTACAAAAAATGGTAATTTATTGTTTAATAAGTCATGGGAAGCCACAATGTCGGTATGGTATTCAATTTACACCGCGTTCACCGTACATTTACCGACCATCAGCGGTGTCTTTTGTTCTTATAAATGTAATCACTACTCGTGTTTTCATGTAAGTAGAAATTTTAAAACAATGACGCGAGTTTTCGACTCAAATTCGTGTGCAGCAATCTTTCATCATAATTAATTTTAACGCCATCTGTTGTCAGTTAGAAATAATATGACATTCGATTATAGGTGGCTTCGAAAAGAATAACAATTTAAAATTTTTTAGGGATGATTTACTTACATTCGCTTAACTCTGTCATATTTTATGTATTGTTAGTGCGTACAATAAAGTATAAATAAATAAAAGTTCCTTCAATCCGCCCTTTCGTATGTAGAATGCTAATATACAAGTACACACGTTTGTCACGTCGCGAAATTGCATAGAGGAAACCTTTTATTTTTAAAATTTATAAAATGTTGTAAGTTGTTTATTAAGTTACGTGACTGTTAAGTCTTTAATTACTTATTTGTTTTTTTTTCCTATAAATAACGTATGTAGTATTGATAAAGGTGATACTTATTATATATCAACCTCGTTATTTCAATACCAAGGATTATTCCACCAAAAAATTGCAATCTACAATTATTTTATTACCAAAAATTATAATGCGTTCAGTCGCTCGAACGGTCATTTGTAAGCTTCCTAATGTCACCGTAATGATGGTTGGTAATGCGTGTTAGGCTCCCCGCACACCACCCACTAATGTGCATACAACTGTAACGGAAGCGAACGATGGTGATTTAATCGTATAGCGGCTAATGCATACTACATCGCTCGGAACATATGACATACATCTTCCGAAGCGTCTAACATTTATCTAGTACTTGAAATATGTTTATGTATTTATAGGTATTTAATAAAAAAAATAATGATATTTTGTTCCATGCAAATAAATATAAATTTCAATCTCAACTGATTTTGGTAAAAGAAAAATTAGGAGACTAATCTTTTTTTTTATTTTTTTTTTTTTTATTTTATTTTATACAAAAATCCACAGCTCTGAAAGTATATATTTTAAATTAAAAACACAAATATTTAAATAGAGTTTTGAGGCAACAAATATTAAATAAAAAGACCGAATTGAGAAGTACCTTCTGTTTTTGAAGTCGGTTTGAAAAAGGTAATAAAAACATGTGTGAAATGTGTTATATATTATGTACTATTTTGTTCTTCTTTAAATACATTTTCACTGTATAATAAAAAGATATTGCAGTGTTTTTTTTTTTTAATATACCATTTATATTTAGGTAGCATTCCCTGCGATTTATCTGCGTGACTGAGATAAAAAATAACTTATGACCTTCTCCTTGCTAAATACTACACTCAATTTCATAATGATGATTGGAGCTATTAAAGCACCAATAGGTAACAAATAAATTTACAAACGTTTATATTGTGGTTAGAGTTACATATAGATAAATTAAATTAGATGTCTTAATAAAAATATTTATTTGATATATGCTTGTTTATCAGTTTTTTTGAAAAATAATATTTTAATAAAGTAGCCGTAGTATTTATAAAATTTAATCACAAATTTTTCTCACGCCTAATTTAAATAATAAATTTTGCTATCAACGATCATTTAAATTTTATTGGTGATAAAAATCGCGCATAATTTGCATAAAAATGATCAACTGCAAATATTATATTTAAATTTAATTCACAACAAATATTTGTATCCATATTTTAAATATATTCATGTTTTTATGTTTTATGCTTTTTTAATATTTTTATTTCTGGTTATTTGGTTTATATCCGCTACGATTAGTATTTATGTGATAATCAACACTCGAAAGTTGATTACTAAAATTATTACCAAAAGTTATACAATCTTCCATATTAATCATCAATCTGAGACTGTCATTTCATCCACGCACGTTTTGCTTTACGTCTTCCGACATTAAAATAAGCTTCTTCAGGCATATTAATAGATCGATGCTCGGAGTCTAGTGATAACCGTTCGGCACTCAAACAGCGATGTTCAGCAGTGGACGGATAATCCTGAAATGATTATGATGATGACGCAAACATTAAAGACTTTTTTAATTACACTATCAGGACTTAGCGCGATGAAAAATGTTTACAGGTAAAGTAGGTAATTTACAGGTAGTATTTTCATCACGTTAAGTTCCGATAATGTATTTAAATATGTGTAAACAACGCAAAAGTTTAAAATTAACTAACAAACACCTAATTCAGTAAAACATTTTTATATTTGTTAAATTTAGATGAATAATTTATTATATATAATGTTATAAGATTCTTTTGACTCTTTACACTCATTGTAAAAGAAGAAAAATAGTAAATTAAACGTTACCAAGTCATCTTGTTAAACAGCAACGCGTACGAGCAAACGCAGTGTAGGACAACCCCCCCCCCCCCCCTACTAGATAGACTGACGATCTAAAATGCATTGCTGGGAGTCAGTGGATGCAAGTGGCTTAGGACCGTTCTTTATGGCAGTCTATAGGGGAGGCTTATGTCCAGCAGTGGACGGATATTGGCTGAGAAGATGGTGATGATGAAGCAATTTTGTCCGAATAGTAATAATAGATTGATCTTACTAATCAAATAAAATATAAAATTGTAACTAGACAATGTCTGTAGATGGGAGATTGTTAAGAATAATTGATATAAAGGATCTTAATAAGAATAGTAGAAGTCAAAAGAATATTTTCTTGAAATTTTGTCTGTTTGTCTACCTGTCTGTGTATTTATTCAGAAATCACGCAAACATTATTACACAAAAATGGATGCATTAATCACAGTTGTGTTCTTAAAGGTTCTTTAAAAACTATGGGTATGTTTTAGCTCGAAACTCCCATCTAAAAGTAGTCTAATTTCATTATTTTCCTATTTTTGACATACTCTTGTACGAAGTAGCAGGTAAGAAATTAATATCCTATATAGTTATTTACTGTAACTGGACTAGGATCTCTTGTCTTTATTAGAAGATAAAATATTCTCTTATATCATATCTCATAAGCTAATAAACTTCAGCTTCTTGTTCCATATTTTCCTTATCTTGTACTATAATTGAACTCACGTGCTCAAATTAAGATAATTTTCCTACTACAAACTAATTTTTTTTACGCAACTCACTTTGACATATTGTCAAACAAGCTGATGCTTGTTTGCCAATTTGCCAGCTATTTCGAGTGAAGTAGTGCTTATTTAGACCATCTTAGTACCACAACTAGCTTTCCTCGAGTCGGCCGACCCTAATAAATCAAATTATATATAATGGAAAAATAAAACCTGAAAATTCAGCCAGTTCTACTTATTCTTACCAATGTATCCCCTGGAAGATAAGAGCGGAATTTTGTTCCACATTCTTCACGTTCACACTGGCAGAGTTGTATGGAAATTAATTTCAACTTATATGTTTTTATTAACAAGTATATTTCGGTGAAATAAAAATAATAAATTTCTTAAATAAATTAAATAGTATCAAACACAAAAGGGATAAAGGACCTATCGACCTGTGTTCTGACTTGCAAATTCTGCGTAATAACTTACCTGTATTCTTAAAATAATTTGATTGATATTGGGTTGACGTGCACTAGAGCACTTGATCTCTATTCAATCTAATATTGCGAATAAGATTTCATACAAAATTGCTGAGTCAGCTATGACGATAGCAATAATGTTACTATCCCTTCATTATTAGCCATAGAATCATTACTATAGAAATATTTCTAAGCATATAACTTAGTCCAGGTAGTAATAATGCAATCTCTATATCTGTACATACTGTATAATATAATAAAAAACAGCAGCTTCAATTTATGATGAAATTAATATTAAATCAGTATAAGAGCAGGCCAGTTTCAGAAATGTTTTCTCCCACGAACACTCAGGTTATGGAATGAGCTCCCTGTCGAGGTTTTCCCAAGAGACTACATGGGGTTCTTCAAAAGGGAGGTAAAGAGGTTCCTTGAGGGTCGGCAAAGCACGCGTAATATCCCTGGTGTTGTAGGCGTTTATAGGCTACGGTAACCGCTTACCATCAGGTGGGGCGTATGCTTGTTTCAGTGGTATAAAAAAACCCATTCGAATAATGAAATAATATTGTTTAACAATAGGAATAAATGTATAAAGGTATCCACACCAATAAAAATACGAATGAATTATTAAATTTCTCCTTTTTGAAGTCGTATAAGAACAAGTGTCTAAAATTATATTTTTTTTACAGGAAAAACCACACAAGTGCAATCTCTGCTCGAAGTCGTTTCCCACTCCTGGGGATCTGAAATCACATATGTACGTCCACAGCGGGTCGTGGCCATACAAATGCCACATATGCTCCAGAGGTTTCTCCAAGCACACCAATTTGAAGAACCACCTGTTTCTCCATACTGGTAAGTAAATAAAACCACCTATATGATTTTATATTCGTTATTTATTTAGGATTTTTATTTGCGACTAAAATTCGTCCGTTCGTTATTCATCAATTTTAATTTAGACGAAAAACCAAAATTTTTGTCCGGCCCTCTCGTAAATTGTATTAATTTATATAAATAATTATTTTCAAATTCATTCAAATTTTTATATTCATTTTTAAATGAAGATATATTACTTGTAGTTATTTCATTTAAAATTACATAATTGTTTTTAAATCATAATAATTTATAACATTGCAATATTTATTGAAATGTAATTTTACTACAAATAAAATAAAACTGGAACTAAACGATAACCATAGGATGATATGGAATATGTTTTAGAAAAAAAAAAGATCTTATAGTTTATATTAAATATTAAATCTTTTAATGTATCTAATATTTAAATTTATTTATAAATTTAAATATATTTTAATTACTTATTAATATATATTTAATTATAAATTATGTATAATAAAGATTTTACAAAACAATACAATATATTTTTAGATACAAATACAATATTTATTTTTTTAGAATTTTAGTCTGTCTTTGTTTGTTTCGGCATGGCGCAAAATCTACTGCCCCGAATTGAATGCAATTTTTACAATGTGTTCCTAATAGTCCCGCTTGAAGTCTAGTATATGTTTTGTCTTGTACTTTATCTGGAATTGGTTGCCCACTTTCAAACTTCACGAGTACAAAGTTGCAGGAAAAAAACTAATATTGATGTTATTAGTTACGATACCAAAAGTTAATTTGCTAATTTTTAATAAAATATCTCTTTTGTTGCAGCTAAACATCAAAGAAACAGCGCCAGAGACGCAACCTGAAATAGAAAAAGTTCTTAAAATTAATGTTATATGAAATAGTTTTGTATGTCATCTTAAACACATACGTACATATCCATAACGTAACAAGATATTAAAAGTGTGATATTAGAATAGTTAATTTTAAGTGTTAATTTATTTTTAATATATTTATACAATACGATAGATGTTAAAAGTAATTCTTAATATACAACTTATTACTAAATATATTGAAAAATTAAGTGCACGGTTAATTCCAAGAAAATATAATATATATGCATATACATACATATATATATACATACATATTAATTGTGATAGGGGTATATTCTGTATGTAATGAGAAAGAATTAATGAATAAGGGTCAAATAAAAAAGAGTCTTTTTCATATTGCTTGATTAATTCAAGGCACTGAAAGAACCTTTAACAAACTAACCTAATTTATAAATGATTTTAATGATTTGAAAAATAGGATATTTCTCAACAGACATTTATTTTTGTACTAGCGTTTCCGCCCGGCTTCGCACGGGTAGAAATAAGTTTCAAAAATAATATATATGCCTACGTTACTCGCTGATAGTGTAGCTTTATATGGGTGAAAGAGGTTTTTAAAATCGATTGAGTATTTTTTGAGTTTACCCAAACAGTCAAATCTTTCCTCTTTATAATATTAGTATAGAATATATATATATATATATATATATATATATATATATATATATATATATATATATATATATATATATACAATTTAAACAATGTTTGAAAATTCTTTTTGCAAGCGGTAGGTATTTTTTTATCAATAATAATCGAATGTTAATCCCGCCTGTATTATCGGTGTACATTGACGAGGCACTAGTGAAAGAGGATGAGTAAGGATGAAAGCAGGTCAGTTAGCTCATTGAGACAAATATCAATTATCATTGTGAAAATATACCTCGTCAAGTTAACGTGGCCTTCAGCTGGAAAATGAGTAGTTATTGGTAAAATCGTCATTATGTGTCTACCGATCTGATTCTATCTCACTGGCTGGAGATCATCATAGATATGATCCAGATATCATCTGGATCATATACCACCAGCGCAAACTAATAGCATCAAATTCAATGTTTATCCATTAAAAATCTAATTAGTTGCTTACATAATATTACATAGAATTTTATATAAATAAATATATATATTATATAAACAAGTGTCTTGTGATTATATACATAATCCAAAATAGTATATAAACAAATGTTTAACAGTTGCATTTATTTATATATAAACTTGCAACGAATTAATAATTCATACAGATGCCAGTTTAATAATACAAACTGCATATTAATGAAATAATCATAAAATATCGATTATATACACTAAGTTCAGAGTAATGCGATTCAAAATAAGATTAAAGAAAAGTGTATTTGGTACAGCTATTTATTTATCATTTTTAATGACTGTATGACTTTGGATTTTTTTTAAGTAATATATATAAGTCTTAAACTAAAAATAATTCTGACGATTCAAATAATATCGTTTCGTATATAACAGTATAATTTGCTATAGATATTTTATATATTGATATAACTAGATAAGAGGGATTTAATGAACTTATTCCGCTTTATCAAATGCACATAAAATTTCAAACAAACATTGTATTACACCGACAAAACAATATTGAATTACTAAGACAGGGTTTTGTTAAGCACTGTTTGTATAAACAGTGATTTAAATTATTTTTTCTCAAACATGCTCGGAAATGTGAGAAAGGAATCTAAGAAGGTTGTCTAAATAATTTTTGACAAACTTCTTAGAGATAAATCAAAATTGCCATACTGTTTTTTGGCCAGATAAATTACTATGTAAACTCATGTCTGTCCTGTAATTTAAAAAAGGAATGACCTTTTACTTCGAAACATGGCTACCAAGGAGGTAACTAATAAAAGGTTTTATTTAAATTTCGAACTGGCTTACAAATAGAAAGCTGTTTGTTGAAAAAAAAAACAAAGAAACATTATGGCGCGTGAAAAATTATTATTGTTCGTTATTCGTCATTGAACTTAAAAGGTAAAATTGTGTTTTTGATTTCCGCACATTGTTTGAGAAAAGTACCATACAAGTCTTGGCCACAACTAGGCATTGATGGACTCATGTATGTGTGCCTCTGCTACAACTCGGCCCACATTTGCACGTTCGTCCATTAATGTCTCGGTTGCTGGCCGCTGCAATAATGTCCTATTGTAATAAGACCAATTATGTTATTTATAACTACTTTGACATTTGGAAATCTTCAGACAGATTATATATATATATATATATATATATATATATATATATATATATATATATATATATATATATATATATATATATATATATATATATATATATATATATATATATATATATATATATATATATATATATATATATATATATATATATATATATATATATATATATATATATATATATATATATATATATATATATATGTAAATTTCTAAAATAATACAGAATAAATTAATTATTTATATAAATTATATTACTATTTAGTTGAGTAACGAGTATAATAATTATATATTGTACACCAATACCAATTACAATAAACAATGATCAAAATTAACAATTGAACAAAATCTTCCCAACGACCATTAGACATTAAATTTATTAAGAAGTTGGCAAGAAATATTACCATATTTAGCATTAAGATGAATTTAAAGACTGGAACTTCTTGGCTTTTGAAAATAACAACTATTGAACTGTGAGTTTAAATATCATAAACTTTCACAAAAACAATAACATATATATATATTGTGACATTTATTTTTTATATAAATAATTTGTATATACATAGTTCAATGTGTATATTATGTGTATTGTAAATAGAATGCCTACATAGTGTTATGTAGAAATAAATACTAATATACTTTACATTACGTAAGTATATTGTGATCATATACGCCGTCCAAAATTTTATGTAAATAAACGCTTAAATTTGCAACGAATTAATAATTTATGAAAAACTATTTATGTCTTATTTTTTAGATAAGTTTATTCGAGTAATAAATTTTTTTAAATATATTTTTATGTTTATTTAATCAGTATCCTAGTATTTCGCTATAACTTGTCTACAAAATCAATTCATTATCTAAGAGAAAAGAAAGATATTTTTCAAAAATATTGTTACTTTTATGCTATTCGAATATGCAAACAAGTTGACAACACTTCTAATGGAAATTTCTAATACTTACTAATAAATCTTTGCCTATATTCATTTTAGGGTTCCATACCTCAAAAGGATAAACGAAACCCTTATAGAATCATTTTTTAGTACATCTGACATAGCCTATTTTCTTAAAAACTCGTGAAAGTATCAAGTTATCGAGGTTTTTCCAAGAAACTACAGCATGGAATTCTTAAAAAAATGGGGTAATGAGGTTTCTTTAGGGTCCGCAACGCGCATGTATTGCCCCTGGTATTGCATTCGTTCATAAGCTACGGTAACCGCTTACAATCATGCGGCCCTTATGCTTATTTGCTACTTTAATGATCTAAAAAAAAAAAACTAAAATTAATAAAAAATATTTAAAGCATATGTTTTTACATTTATAAGGCAAATAAAAACCCATAAATGGTATATCCCGTTGTCTTGAAACCATGAAATTCCGTAAAAAGCAATGTCATGCAGTACAAGTGAAAGAAAAGATCTAAATCTGAAAACTGTAAATTTATAGTTACAACACAATTTATTTTTTGTGTTTTACTTTTTTTAATTATAATTTGTGCGGAACTTTCGGTGCGCGAGTATGATTCGCATTTGCCTGTTTATTAAAATCTTAGTTCTAAAGAACTAAAATATATTCTTTTACATTCCTGAGGACCAAAGTGTTATATATCTACATCCAGTAATTTTATTGCTATATCTTACGTTTCTAATAAAAGTTCAAATAGGAAAATGTTTATATTCTTATGTAGGCATATCTTTAAAGACACATATGAAAATATAATTTCTTAATTTACTACCCATTTAAAAAAAAACAGTTTCAATTAAGAAGAAGAAATTAGATTAACTGCACTATACAAAACCTTTCAATTGTTCCAGTCAAATTTACTTTATATAGAAATTGTCTTTTTATATATTTTTTTTTCAGTTATTTAACTTTCTTTTATATTAACGTTATGAATACATTATAGAAACATTATATAAAACAAAACTTTGATAACAATATTACAAATAGTTTAAGAATATATATTTATAATTTTTAATATTCAACAATATCAATAAACGAAGTGCAATGTCTGATAAAAATGCTGATTTTAGTCAAGCGCTAGGAGCACGACCGCCACAAAGTCAAGCAGTGTAAATATTTTGTATGATTATATATTATTTACATGGTATAATAATTTAAAACTAAGATACTTAAAGAAATAAAAAATTCAAACTACTTTAAATTATTAGCAATTAATCAAGGCAGTAATTTGAAAATGCCTGTTGAAACTTTTTCCATCCTTAATACTAAACTGTTCATGAGAATGAAATTAAATACATTTTAAAATAATTAAAAATATTTTTAGTTTTCAACCATATTCGTCATGTAAACTTTACATTTAAAAAAAAAATTGTTTTGGCTTGATAAATCTAACGTGATTGATATTGATATTAATAAAGTGGTTTAGGACTCACGTTGCTAGCAATAGCAATCTCAGGTGAACCTCCTCGCAGTCTCTAATGAATACTATAGTGATTAATTCCTAGGTAATTTTTCATGTCAGGTCAACTAACCTGACCTCACCCTCACTTATCCTCATTATTCCTCACTAGTACTTTGCCAGCATAAATCTATATATCATATATAATACGAGTACAATAGTAAATCTATATATAATCAGCATCATTATCATTTAATTTTTCCATAACAAATAACCTATTTTCATTAGAAATGAAATGTTAATCTCATTTGCATTTGCATCTTCATATATCTATATACATATATTACACATACATGTACATAAAGGCAAATAAACAGCTTCCTCTATTTAGAATCATCGTTATATATAGTCCAAACAGCTATAAAAGTATCACGGCTCTCGCCACGGAATGAAATGTTGGAATTGCTTTTATCGAGTGCCAGGAGCATGTCGCGTCCCACAGGACCCCAGCATGCACCACGGAGCCACAATTAAGACCTAATACTTCCAACTGAAGTTGTTATATGCAAATGAGTACGAGCCTCGCGTGTTCAACGCCTACGTCGAGACCGCTACATTTAAAAGGCGCAATAAATATTTTGTTGGTGAATTGCATTGAGAAGCGAGAAGAAAAAATATTGCTACTGTATTATATAATATTATAATTTAATGGAAATGAATGGGCATTGAGTGCAGGGGAATTATTCCGGCTCGCAAGACACTAGGACAGATTCCTTGAGCTGATAGCCAATTTTTACAAATTCGATAAGATTACTCCATCTAGGTTAGTTAAGGACCTCCTTCTCAAGGTAAATATTCCTTCCTATTTCTAAATATTCTTTTTTAGTGTTCCCCAATTACTTCCATCGCTTGATCCTCAAGCTATGATACCCAGTGTTATAAAAACTAGAGACAATAAAACATCGAGCATCTAGGAACACAACCTAGAATAGTCAGACCTGAGTCAATTCAGAAACGTTTGTTTTTTTATGCAACTTGGATGGCAAACAAGCTGATGGCCCATCTGATGGAAAGTGGTAACCGTCGCCTATAGACATGAGCTGTACAATGGAGATAACAGAGTATACTATTACGCCCATGACCCCCATGCGTTGCCATTCCTGAGGACTGTACCTTGTAAATTCACTGCAATATCCCACTCTTCAAACAGAAATACAAGACACGACCGGGTATCAAATATGGAACCTTATTTTTGCAAGTCAACGTGCTCGCCACTACGATACGGAGGTCGTTATAATAGACTTACCAGAGAGAAACTTTATACAAAATCCGTCTTCTTGGGTATTGCTATCTCACTCAAGTGTCTGCTATGAAGCAAATGTACTTGCATGGTTTGCCATGCAAATACTTGCATGGCTGTTTCAGATAACATGAGGTATAGTAAGGGTGCCATGGATATCACTGTGTATTTTGGGATATATAGCTAGATAATCTTTACTGTTCCTCCAAAAGATTACACTAGTAAAATTATTAAAAACATAAAAAAGAAAATACTGGTCATTTCTATAAGCGACGTTCCATTTTCTATCAGGTACATTCATAGCAATATTTAAGATTCTAAAATAACGTCATTCTTCCATCCTTTTTTTGGGATATTGACGTTACAGTAACGAAAAGTGAAGTTCATTTACAATCGTAGACGTCATCACGCTACCTACGGTTGTCGACTAGTTGGTTATTCCAAATTATAAAAAATAGAAACAAATCTCTATCGTACTCTTCTTATTTCACTAACGTGAGTATTGACGGATGTATTCATACGTCAAATTAATGACTGTTTGATAATGTAATTCAATGATAACTTTCACTTGTTATAGACGCTAATAAATTAGGCGCATTATTAAATAAATAATATTACATACCTACAGATGATTAATTTATCCTGTGTTACTATGTACTCCGTTTCCTAGTTAATATACAGGCTGTTTATACTACTGCTGGTCAGAAAACTTTGTCATTAATATAGGTAGCAATAGAATTATAAACTGTTTTCCTTTTCGTTTTGGTTTTGTTTTAAATCAATCTTTGTCATATTATTAACATTACAACGTTTGTCATATTACAATTTTTCAATAAAAGAAAGTACTTCCGTAGTGCAATAATTTTTTTAATTGTCTATACTAAGTACAAAGTAGAATTTGATGACAGTAAGTATTTAGAAAATTGAATTTCTATAAATTGTTTTATATAATATATCACAGAAATACTCTCTATTATGAAATTAGTAACAAATCGAAACATTTAGTCAATTACACGTAATTATTTTTTTATTTTATTTATTGATTTATTCATTAGTACAAATATGTGTACATGGCGGACTTAATGCTAAAAGCATTCTCTCTCAGTCAACCATAGGGAAGTGTCAGAATACTCGAATGCGGTACTACTAATTATTAATATACATACATACTAAAATTACATATATAAACGAATAAATATGTATGAATAACAAATATACTTACACATATATGATATGTACTATATTATACACCAATTTGGGAATAATATAAAGCACTTACTGCTCGGATAAAGATAAAAAGATAAAATATAATTATTTTTTTATGTGTAGGTACTATTACGGAATATCATTAGGCTC